TATAGGGCTCATGTTAGCCTTAACTCTGTTCTTATTGTTGGATTAGAAGAGGAGCAGTGCATTCCTGGGGAGGGCACAGACTGTGTATTTGACATATGTTTCCTTGGGAAACAGAGCATGTCTATCTGAAGGCTTACATTTTAGCACCATCTTAACTTCTTTTCCCTTTAGGCCTTCGTGTTTGCTGTCTGTAGTGTTTGAAAATATTCCTTGTCTGGCTCTTCAATGATGGCTCCTTCTCATTCTTGGAATGTGAGCTTTAGTGTTGCTTCATCTGAAAAGCTTTTATGAGCAAACCATCTAGGTTTATACTCTGTTATTTTCTATGCTACTTTCTGAATGTTTTTTTCCTTAGCACATACCTTCACTTTTATTTTTATTTATTCTTCTAGTGCTCCACTATATGTTTCCTCACTCATCTCCTCAGTAAGAGCAGAGACTTTGGAAATTAGCTTACTTCTTGCTATTTGGTGTGTGATAGTTTTTGAGTGAATTAAGTTTTATTTAACAACCAAAACTTTGAAAATTTGTAACTGCTTTGATTGAAAACATTTAAAAAAATAATCCTATATAATTTTCTACCCTTAGAACAGTACAGCCTTACACTAATCATTAGTTTTTGTATCTATGTTTTGGTTAAATGATGTCCTTAAATTATTTACTTTGTACTAAATAACCTCAAATTATAGAATGCTCAGTTTAGCTTTCTTAAAATTTATCTTTTAACCACAGTTAACCTGTATGCTTTTTTAATAATAGTAAAAAGGACCTAAAATGAAGACCTGCTGTACCTGCATCTTGCACTCACCTATTTGCATACCTGTGGGTCAGAGACTATCATTGTTATTTCTTCATGTTTTCTTATTTTTTTTCCATGTATGTAAATGTTATTCTTATAACACTATTTCATACATTGAACTTAAATCTTTATATTTCTTGCTACAGTATGTAAGATTTACCTCATCTCACCCACAAGATTTTTATCGCTTTTTATTTCTTCTTTTGAGCAATGTAATAAAGCGTCCTTGAATTTCATGTCCATTAACTAGAGATGATGTTTCTTGATTCCTTAGTTTGTAAAATAAAGATTAGCAAACACATGCTTCTTCATCACTTCTTCCACTTTCCTTTTGCTTATCAGAGTTGATAGCGGTTACATTCCATACTATATCTATATTCTATAGGTTGATATAAATAGAAGAAAGAAAATAAACACGTTATTGTTTTCACAAAGATACCACATAATAAAAAATAATAGGTTATGTTTATGGTTAGTTTTCTACAGGGCTATTTTTCATAACCTCTACCCCATGGCAAAGAAACTTCAAAATAAGTAATCTTTCTCATTACCAAATGATAAAAATAATGATACATTTTGCTTCTTATCTGAACTTCACCTCTTTTATTCATTTTTTTTCAATTTTTCCTATCGCCTGAGAAAATACATCTTTCTTAATATGGTCTTAGTACTTCTGGTATTAGTGATTGCTTAGAATCTATTCTTTTTATCTTGAAGTCCATTTAAATTCCCTTTCTAATTGTACTTATTGCTTTGTAGCTTCATAGTTTGACTACAAATTTATCTATTTCTTTTTCTTTTTACTGGTCCTGCAGTTTGAACTCAAGGCTTTCATGCTGTACCAGTGGAACCATGCCTCTAGCTCTGGGCTACAAATTTCTTATCTCATCTACCCTTTCTACCTTACCACATTTTATTTGCCTTTTCCCCACTCTTCCTTGCTTTTATCATAGTCTCAGGTCTTCTCACTTTTCCATTCACATTACCTTTTGTATCAGATAAAACCTAAAATAATTTTCTAAGACTCTTTGGGAGATAAATGTCATATTGCTCACATTTTACAGCATTTATTTCAAATTTGACTGTGTAAGTCAGTGTAGAATTCTACATAGAAAATAGCCCCTTCCAAATTGTGAAGGACTGATTCTATCTGCCAGTTTCTTCTGTTGCTAATGACCAATCCAGTCACTCTCATTGCTTGCCCATCATATAAATTTTTTTTCTGTGAAAATCTTTAGATCTTTTTATATGATGATCTGAAAAATCACAGTGTTTCTTTTTGTTGGTCTTTTCTTATTCAGAACCTGTGAAGTGGTCTCTTTTACTTGTTTATCTTTAGAAATACAATTTCATCCATTTTTTTCCCTCCCAAAGATATCTACTTTAAAACAAACCTTTTTATTGACAGATGATAATATACATCTTTATTTGGTAACTAAAGCATTTATTATTTCTTGGTGAGAACATTCAGAGTCATTTCTTCTGTGTAATTTTAACAATATGATATAATGTTAACTATAATCACTTTCTGCGCAGTTGAACAGCAATAATTCTTTGTCCTATCTGGCTGAGTCTGTACCTGTTAATCTCTTCCCATTCCTTTGCCCTTATAGACCAACATCATGTGGGGTTTGTCTTTCTGTACTTCTCTTACTTCACTGATCTCCAGTCCTATCCATATTGCTGGGAATCCTTTTCATGGCTGCATAACATTCCATTGTGTATACATACTACATTTTCTTTATTCTTTCATCCATGTATAGTCAGCTTGGTTGATCTCATGTCCTGACTGCTGTTAATAGTGTGGCATTAAATATGGTAGTGCAAATGTCTCTTTGTTCTTTTTGATTAACACCTAGTAGTGGTATACCTAGATCATATTATAGCAGTTTTGTTTTCTAATTTTTTAAAGGAAATTATTTCACAATATTTATCATAGTTACTGTAATAACTTACATAATACCAGTAGGTTATAAAACTTCCTCTGTCTCCACATCTCACCAGCATTTGATATTTTTAACTTTTTGATTAGAGCCATTCTATAATGGGATGAGATGCTATCTCCTTGTGGTTTGGATTTGCATTTCTCTGATGATTAGTGACATAAAGCATTTTTTAAAAATAATTGGATTATTTGGGGTTTTGCTATTGAGTTTCTTTGTATTCCTTATATATTCTGGATATTAATGCCTTGTCAGATAGTTGCAAATATCTCCTTTCATTCTGTAGATTGTCTTCATTAGGTTTGTTATTTTCTTTGCCATGTAGAAGCTTTTTAGTTGGATGTAATCCTCTTTGTTTATTTCTTTTGTTGCCTGTGCTCTTTGACTTGCATTTGAAAGTGGATTTATTGGATTATGTCTCTGTTACTTTATCTTTAAATACTGATGTTTTATTTGAGCAGTCTTATTTAAAATGTTTTCTCTTTTACTTTGTTTCTTATACAGAATTTTCTTGCTCTCTTCTCTCCTTTCTTCTCTTCCTCCTTCTCCCCTTTCTCTTCCTCCTACTCCACCTTCTCTTCCTCCTACTCCCCCTTCTCTTCCTCCTACTCCCTTCATCCCTCCCTCTCCCTGTCCTTTTCTCTCTCCCTCTCTCCAATTTCTGTAGTGATTAACCTTAAGGAACTACATGTCTCTTAAACATTCACAGGCTTCTTATTACTTACTAAAAATAGAGGAAGTCCTTCAAACTTACTATCCTCTCATGTAACACAATCAGCTTAGAGTGTACAGGTATCCATGAAAGAGCCCTTTGTGTCACTTTCTGTTATTTGTGGGCTTGTAGAACTAATGCAAATAAAAACAAAGTAATATGATTCCTTGTCTCTGATCCATAGATATTGTCTTTCCTTAGAATTCATGAAAAAATAACAGGCTAGCTTTTTAGCTTGTATGTAGGATAAAACCTACATAGTTCTTGACAAATACATAGTCTTCTTTGATTTTTTTTCTATGTGTATTAGTTAAATTTTCTTTTTAATGTTTGGACCATTCTTCTGAAATCTGCTTTTGTTTTGGAAATAATTTTTAATTATGTCAAGTTTGACTCAAATGTTTGGTATTTTTTGATAGTCTAATATTAAATGCTAGAATGACAAGCATTGGATTGGTTTGGGGGGCAAAATTTTGGTCTACTGTTTGTATAATGATGTTTACTTTTAAACCCTATTTTTTACCTCCATTTCTTATTTCCAGCCTCACCACTTATGAACTCAGTGTTTTTCCTAGCTTCTGTTTTGATGAGTTGCCTCTAAGATTGAAACATTTTTCATCAAGACTCTTCCATCAGCTCTTTGCCAAATGTTTCTTGAAATTTTAAGTTTCTTTGTTATAGTAGCTTTTCATTTATATACTTACACTTTTTAGGAAGAGGAAGAGATAAGTTTCTGAAGTAGCACTCTTCTTTTTTCTTTCAAGTATTTGAGCAATAACTTGTTGCTTCATGTTTCTGTTACTGTATTTATAGCAAGGCTATTTCTTATTTCTACTTTGTCTCTATGTCTAAATATAAAGCATTATCATTGGGAAAATCAGCAAAATAGCCAATAAAAATGGTTGTAAAGGAGTAAATACTATTTTAAAGGACTTTTTTGTGGCATCTGGTTTAGCTACTTAGATTTTTGCTTACTTTTGGTTTAAATGAAATACATAAAGGTTGAGGATAACTATATTAATAGCTTTACACATTACATTTTCTCGTAATCTTTTCTTATTCTGTTAAAATGAATTGCACATATCTTAAAAATTGCTCTATGCCTTTTACTAAAATGTAATAGAAGATTTACTTTATATTCTAGGAAATGTCCCCAGACTTTTCATTCCCTAGAACAAAAGTTGACAAGCTTTTTATTGAAAGGGTCAGGTCAGGCTTACAGCTCATACAGTTGCTGTTACAACTACTCAACTTTGCTGTCCTTAGCATAGTCATAAGAAATATATGAATAAATCAGTGTGGCTGTATTGCAGTAAGGCTGTTTATGAACTGTAAAATTTGAGTTTTATATAATTTTCATATGCTTGATATAGTTCTTTCTTCTTTTATTCTTTACAACCAGTTAGCTTGCAGTCCATACAGGTATAAATTAGATTGTAGTCCATAAAAATATTGGTCAGTTTTTGCTGTAGAATTACTTGTTTGACTAATGACTTTTAAAATTGAATCCCATATTCTTTCTGTTTTGCTCCATCATCCTTTTTAGGCAAGCTAATGAAGAATATCAAATACTGGCTAACTCCTGGCGCTATTCATCTGCTTTTTGCAACAAATTGTTCTTTGGTATGGTGGACTATGATGAGGGAACAGACGTTTTTCAGCAGGTAAAAAGTTGTATTTTATTTTATACTATTTAACATAGCTGATTATGGTTAATACATTTTTGTTTCCCAGATAAAATGCAATTAATTAAGATAATTAACATAGTACATAGTTACAGTAAACTCTGTGTTGTGATAGAAATAAATGGAGTTAATTTTATCTCTAGCACTGTACAGTTTTTGCCATCGGTGAGTATAAAAGCACTTTGACTTTTGTATTATAGAGGAAATGTGTTTTTCAGTATATAGTGGCAGTTTACATGCATCAGTCTTATTTCAGTATTTAATTATATATGATTTAGGAAGTATTTTGAACAAGTTTATGACATTTTATATAAAATCCTGGAGTTTTATTTAGCCTTCATTTCACCAGTGTGTTAGATATAGAAATTTTACATGTAAAATATTAAATATTTATTTTAAAGTGTTTTCTCACTGTTAATATTACTACGATGACAATTATACTTGAATATGAGTTTTGGAGGGTGCCAACATTTAAACCATACCATAGTTACATAGTTATTGTAGTACTTGAAAAGTACTAATGTAGGTAACAGAAAGATGAATAATGAAAATCTGATTACATTTTCAGTACTAAAATTGAGAAATACTTGATGTAAATTGATTTTAATTTTCATTCTTATTTCAAGGTAAGAGTCAAAAATCTCTTAGCCTTCTGTTTTGAGGTGCTTTTTATAATTTTTGGTTTGTAAAATGTTTAATATATGCATAATACATTTGTACAAATTTGTATTTG